ATGTTACCTGCCCCTGCCCCTTGGGATCCAGTGCGCGCTACCCCCATCCCTCCTCCTGCTCAGCATCCAGCCGCCAGGAATACTTAAACTAAAAAAGATTGAAAACCCCTGCATAAAGTCCTTAGCTGAGCACATACAGCCAAAAATGCCAGAAGTGGAATGTACTTAAGCTAAAAAAAAGACACTGTCAATAAAAAGTTACAGTGATTAATAAAAGAAAATCCTAAAATATGCAGATACAAGACAATGTAAAAATATTCAAGCAGGTTAAGTTTGTTTAAACACTTCTGAAAGCTACCTTAACACTTCTCTCTCTCTCTCTTTCATAGCAACAGAAACATTTTCAGTGTTTAGAACCATTAAAACCTTAACTCTACATTTGTTTAAACCACAAATACCAGATTAGCAGAAATTTCAAGCTATAATGTCTATTAAAGACAACAGAGAAGCAGATCCTGGATACTGTAGCATGGTGTAAACAGTTGTCAAATTTAAGAGTTACCTCTGCTCTTCTCCATAGTAGGAAGGGAGCATGAATATAACTCACTCAGTAGTACCAGTTAATTCATATGTCCTCTTCCCCTCTGGCTGTAGATAACTAAACTTTGCCCCAATAGCTCAATACAAAAATCTGAAGAAGAGTGAAGGTCTGGGGCAGGGTAAAGTAGATTTAATTTAAAATTAAACTAAAGGCCACAAAGGATTCTTTATCAACAGTGGCACAGGTAACCGAAAGAGATCTAGGAAATGTCAAGTAATGCAATGTAATATACCAGATATCAGTATACAACAGCATGAGAATAGAAGAAATATGTGCTCTGTGTTCACCAGGAACGAACAGTACAACGGATCAAGCATGTAGGTGTAATGTTTGCAGTGAAAAAAACCCCAAAACTTAAAGTGACCATAAATATAATCAAAGCTTTTCTTTTTTTTTGTTTTTTTTAAGCTGATGGGGGACATTAATGGCACATGCTTGGTGTTTTGAAATAAATAAATTCAGAACTCTTAAGTGGCAAGGGAAAACCTCTGAAAAACTGTCAGTTTGGTTCAAAATCACAAGCAATGCAACACATTAAATCTGCAAGAGCAGATTAAAAAAAATATGGACTTTTATCTTTGTTGTTTTTTACAGTGCTAAAAAAATAAATACAATTTTCCCCTATGTAAGTGTTCCTGGTTCTGATTTTAAGAATATGGTCACTGCGTATATGGAATTTCACACAAAATTAGATGGTTAGAAAAGAAAAAGGCAAAAGAAAGCCTTTTCTGGTGAAATATTCATTACATGCAGGAGTTTCTGCTCAGAGAACCCCTGCCTCATTTTGTAGATCAATCCAAAGCATCTGAGAGGAGCTGAAAAGCAAGGATCATATCTTGCCCATTATCACTGGGGCATGAAGCATGAAGTCAAGGGTGCATTGTAAAGGTACTGCTGAGGTAAAAGTTCTTTGAGCTCGTGTGCTTAAGGTGCATGCACACCCACTGCAGCAAGGGTATCCTTATGTACAAGTATTTGGGGGAGTGCATTTGGTTGTATAAGATGTATTCCTTATAGTACCTGAGTATTAGTCAATAAAATACATCAGTTTCTATAAAGGGAGTTAAAGAATGCTAGTTAAGGAATATTAATACTTGAAACATGTCTTTGATGACATACCTCAGAAAATTTTTGGCTTGTGATAAGTGAGGAGTGACCAGCAAAAAGTCATCAATTAACCGTATAAGCACTCTGAAATGAAATACAGAAATATATAAATATATTATATTATTATTTAATCTGGACATTCTTCTTTTCAATTTTTCATCAAAGTTACAAGCTATGGACTATTATAATTCTCAGTTTCTCTCAGTAAACTCATAGAAGATCAACATGATATCCAATGTGACAATATAAAATTTCCATTAAAATACCTTTATCTTCCCCCCAAGATTTTTTTTTTTTTAAATAAGGCACCAGTAGGGCTGTACACTTTCTTTACATACATGTATTGAATTTTAATAAGGTCATTTCACCCCTGCAGAATTCATGAATCAAGGAATATCTTGTAGTCTGACATAATGCATGGGCCCATACAGGTAGCTGGGACAGAATATCAAATACAGTCACAACACATCACTTTCATGGCAACATAAACAGAACATAACATAAGGCTCGTTGATCAGTTTGGAGGAGTATATTGTATTGTCAACAGTTCTATTACTTTTCTTTTAAGTAGAGAATTTCAGATTTTCTAGGCTTTCCATCCAGTACTAAATCTTATCTAGTCTGTGTACAAGTTCAAAAGGAAGTAGGGAGGCAAATTCTCCTAGACTTCTTTGAAAACTCAGGCTAAGGGCCAGACTTTTTAAAAAATATTTAAATTATGTAGAAAGGCACCTAGGAGGATATTTTTTTTAAGAAAAAGAACTAGCAGCAGCAGCTATCTGTATCTTTAGACATTCAAACATCTTTAAAAAGATCTGCCTTTTAACTCTCAAACTGCCCATCAAATCAACATGTAAACTTCTGACTACCCATTACACTCAACTGCTATTTAATAGAAAGGGTGATAATTCCTACAGAGACAACTTCACCTCAAAGATCAACATGCAACTTTTCACAGTTTCACTAACAATTTCTTAAAGAGGAAAGATGGATAGTTAGGCTCAAAACCTGGTATCAGCACAACCTTTCCAAATGAGTTATAAATTAGGGAATCTCTTTGGCTGGAGGAAAATGCTGTTACAAGCACCCACAGACTAGAGCCAATCCTTAAAAGGCTGCAGCTGTCTCCATATTGCTTACTTCACCCTATAACAAAAAGTCACCACTTGCTCAACTGTATTAACGATACAGCAATTATGCCGTCATATGGATTTGGTTTTTCTTATAAATAACATAAAACGTAGCACTAAAAATCCTTGATTGTGCATTTAAGACAATATTTAAATGACATACTTGAGGAAATCGATTCCCATTCTTTAGAAAGGGCCTGGCCCTCCGAGGCAGGGGTCAGGCAACATACAGCCCAGAAGCTGAACCCAGCCCACAGAGCCACTGGATCCAGCCTGCAGAAGTGGGGCTTTGGAGACATTTGGAAGGGATGTGGGGTTTGGCTGTGATCCCACTCTCCATGCTGCTGCAGGGACAGTTGCCAACTGCAGGCATTTTCCCTGTGCTGCTGAGAGGGCAAGCGGTGGTAAATGGATCCTAGAGCATGCCCAGCTCTTGCCCAGGGTGGGTTGTTCTGGCTCACAGATGGAAAAGGGTGGCTCTGAGGTACTGAGAATATCTAGGGGCTAGGAGGATTTGGGACAAAGATTAAATGGAGTGGCCAACTGTTTAAGTGTCAGGGGCAGAGTTAGAGTGTTACCCATATAACTAGTGAAATTGGAGCTCTTGCATGGAAAGGGAAAAGGTAAGCATGGTAAAATATCAATCAGTTTAATGCTGCTGCATGAAAAAGTATACAACTAAGTATTGGGCAATGCATGTTTGGGATCCTCTACACAAAGCTTATGGAAGAATAAAATCTCAGTAAAGAGCACAGTGAAAGTTACTTTACAGCTTCTCTTGAGGATTTCCAGGTTCAGGTTTGGGTTCTTGAGAAAATTCTACTAACATTAAACTTTTAAGGTTCCACAATCATTTTATTAAGATCTAATAAAGGCAAACTCTCAAACCACTCTATAATATATTGAGAAGGCGATTGGCAGTCACTCCACAAATATGCAGGGTGCTCAAGCAAACTGTTTGAGCCTACCATGAGAGAGGTCTAGGCACTAAATTACTCTGAATTACTGCAGGAGATCGTTCCAACCATAGTGCATTTTATTCTAATCCAAGGATACTTGGACTGCAACTCCCAAGCCACAAATAACTCCCCAGTGCCAGCTCTTTGAAGAAAAACATTATCAAAGGGGGCTTCCCCTCACTCCAGCGTGCATGTATCTTTCCTGAAATCAAAAGCAATGCAACACATACTTATGACTTTTTAATATACTTTCCCATGTTGGCCTGAGCAAATATTAACTAATATACCGTCATTTTTTTTCTTTTAATCTAGGGTGTGGGAATCATAATTCACTTAGAGGTGCGTGTGGATGTCCAAACTCTAAGCAAGTCTCAGAACAAATATACAGAGCATAATATAGCTTGGGATAAGCAAATACACCAAGTAGAAAATGGTTCCTTACCCATCTTGCTGTATTCCACATAACAATTTGTTTTCCATATCTCCATAGCATAAACTGCAGAGCAGAGTTGATAAAATGGAGCCTTGTGGAATTCCACAACATTGTAAATAGCACCTAGTAAAATAAGAAATATGTAAATCAAAACTGGCCATAGCAAGCTTCAGTTAGCCACTAGAAGTTAACCTATAATTTTATAGGTATAGGCTATTAAAACAGTAAGTAAAGCACATTTCTGAATACTAGGCTGCTCTGAGTAACTTACCTAAAATCAGAAAGGATATGAACATCACAGTCATGAATTCTGGATTCATGTACTGAGGGGCACAGTGATGCTGACAACACATGGGAAAACACCTTGCCTGAAACTCTCCTGGAAATGCACTAGAACTGAACCAACTTGAAGGAAATATAGGGAGGTAGTAATTTTTTCTTCTGAACCTTGCTATAATGTTTAGACATATCTTGATTGTAATGGTTTACTATCAGTACTCCTTTGTAAACATGCTGCACGTGTCACAGGGTTCAAGGTCATATTAAAGGGTCCCATACACTTGTCAAAGTTTCAGGGGAAAAAGTAACTCTAGCTTAGATGGGAAACTCAAAAAAAATTGGAAAAAAAAATAACTGTATTTTAATTTGATTATAATTTATAAAATGCTGAGCTCTCTAAAACTCCCATGAAAACTGTAATTGCACCTTTATTTAGAGAAAACATATAAACCAAAAGTTTATAGAACTGCCTATGGGTGTGTCTACATGCGCATTTAGGCACGCCTAAATTTAATGTGCATTATCTTAATGTGCACGAAGGCAATTTAGGCTCATGTCTACATGAGCACGCATTAAAGCACGTTAACTACATGTGTGTGGATTGACATGGAACCAAAGTTAGTTCCAAATCAGTCCATACACAGCGTTAACACATCTACATGTATGTTAATGTGCTTTAGCTATTTCCGCCTAAATTTGATACCTGCTTTTGCAGGTATCAAATTTAGGCAGGAATAGGCTAAAATTGCCATTTTTAAGGTGCATTAAGGGCATGTATGTGTAGATACACACCCTTAAATGTGCCTTAAATCAGGCACATGTAGACATGCCATATGAGTCAGAAAGCTCCTCATTTCTTGAACAACCATTAGCAGGACGGTGCAGGAGATGAATCACTTGTTCATTTCTTGTTAGGTATAATTACTTAAAAAATAATTAGACTCTGGAAACATACAAAAAGTCAAGCTTTCATAGGTGCTACCATAATTTGCCCCCCTTGTCTATATGCATTCTGGTAGTCTTGAACTGCACTGTCATAGGAAAGTTGTTCCATACTTTTTATTCTCATCATTCAGTGTATGTAGCCCAGGCCTGTTTATAAGGCACAAAAGGTTATTCATTTCCTCAAGGATCTTTTGATACTGCTAAGACCATGCTTCACAAGCCTCAGCAAATTTATCTTAACAAGGCTTCTTACAGGCAACATGGTATTTTCTATATTTTTTCAACTATGTAAATGAGAGGCTCACGAAGTTGAGCACCACAACTGTCATAAATATGGACAACAAATGAGAAGCTATGTTTTCAGTAGTGCTTTCACTAGCATCTCTGAATCACCTTCTGCTTTTACCAGTAAGGATTTTGCATCGTCTTCTGGATCACCATTAACAATATTGAGCATTTGCTCAAGAACAGACCCTTGCTAGATCCTACGCAAAATACCACCCTGAAGGATGTTGCCCTATTTACAAGTGTTTTTTGCAACCTGTCAATTAGCTAGTTTTAACTCCTTTAATATGACCTAAACTGATTTTACACAGTGCTGTTTTTTCAATCTAAATGTTGTACTTGCTAAGGCAAATGCATTAAAATGTAAGTCAACACACATTGACTTGAAAAGGGAAACTATAGATCACACACTTTCATCAAAAAATATGAAGTCAGTTTGCTAAGACCTATTTTTCTAAAAAACATTTCATGTCCATGAATTATGCTACTATGCTTTCATTCTTTACTAACTGCATGTTTTATCAGTCTTTTCACAACTTAGCCCAGGCCAGCTGTTAGGCTAACAGGCCTAAAATTTCCCACATCTTACCCATCATTCTTTTTAAATAATGGCAGACAAACTTCCTTGCTTATTTTTTAAGCATTTCCCTTATTCCAAGGTCTGTCAAAGACCAGTGTCAATAATTTAAAGAGCTCCCATTTCACCCCAACCTGTACCACTCTTTTAACTGAGCTCAGACTAAAATAGCAGGTGGATTGCAAACACTTGCTCTGTAGATAAAGTGCACATTTGCCACCTAGTGGCCATAAATACATTCCAAACTAAGAACTGAGCACAAACAAGCAATTACAGTATTTGCAGCCTTAATAGTCTCTGATTTTAGTTTAATAGAGACAAGGATTTCTTAGGGTGATATCTTTTACTGGACCAACTGCATAGCTGGGATAAAGCTAGACAAGCTTTTGAATGTACAACATTCTTCTTCAGGTTTCATAGCCACTGCTCTGTCTAATAACTGCTGCAACAGCATTTTTGCCTCTAGTCTGCCTCTGTTAATAGGACCAACTGGAAAAAGGAAGTTACATTTAGTACACTTCAGAAGTGTTTAACAAGGCTTGCCGACCTGTTTTAAGTGTTATTGTGTCTAAAGAGATCAGTCATGTTAGTCTGAAGTCAAGCAGAAGGCAAGGTAGACCTGCACCACATAGAATAACTAAATGCATTTCTTATTTAGTTTGTCTATAAGGTGCAAATTTACCCTGCCTTGTTATTGCTTGTAGCCATTCTGAATCTCTTAAGACCATATCAAGTTTTTCAAATATCTTTCAAAGCACATTCATGAATTTTGATGTGAAACTATTTTTTTATTTACAAACTAGAGAGGAATGTGCTTTTTATCTGTACCTCTTCATGTGCGAGAAGCAGAACATTTAAGTTCCACAACACTTAATGTTTTTACAGATCTTAAGCTAAACTCAAATGACAACCACATTTTGAAGAAAGGTGAAATAATATCCATCTAATGAAAGAGTTAAAAAGCCATCTTCCAGTTGACAGAGTAGAGGCACAGATTGGCTGATACCTCCTTTCACAAGCTTATTTACCTGCCCTTAATTTCCAGGACGTTGTTACGGATCGTTTGTAGAAAAAAATCAAACAGGCTGGAACTTGTCTCATTAAAAGATAGGCTCTAAAATAAAATACAAATAAATACAGGATTTTATCTGAACTCAAAACAATGCATTTCTTCAAATTAAGTGTGATTTCCAGTTGTCAATTTAAACCTCCTGAAATAAAGCCTAACAACCAACTCTGAAAATCTGTAATAAAAGCAGCAACAGTTACCTTCCTACATATACAAACATCTGTGTATTTCATAAATTTGTGTTTTGTTTTTTTTAAAGCAAAGATGCCTTTTCTCAAAAAAGTCAGGTAAAACTCTAATGATTACTTTAAAAAGTGGGGTATGAACTATTAGAATAATATAATAATATACTATACTACAATATAATAATATAATACCTACTACTTTCAGTACTTTATACCTGATAACTTGTAATTCTATAGTATACTACCAGACTGTCATGCCTCTTATAATCCCCACATACTGACATACTTGTCTTTTAAATACCTTAAAGTCCACGTAATTCACACTATCGCTGCCAGTGATTTGTTCAACATTTTTTAGTACATTTTTGCATTCAGAATATAGACAAGACTTTCATTTAGCAAGAGCAACAGTCCCTTAACAGAAACAGCTTCCTACACGCAGATACTCATAGATTCATAGATTATGTAGGGTCGGAAGGGACCACAATGGATCATCATGTCCAACCCCCTGCCCCTGGCAGGAAAGAGGACCAAGGTCAGATGGCCCCAGCCTGGTGACTATCAAGCTTCCTCTTGAAGACCACCTCTCTTGGAAGCCCATTCCAGATTCTGGCTACCCTTACTGTAAAAAATTTCTTCCTAATGTCTACCCTAAGTCTACTCTTCACTAGTTTGCACCCATTATTCCTAGGTATTGCCTGGAGTGCTCTGGTAAATAGCACATCACCAATTCCCTGTTGTCCTCCCTTGATAAAGTTATAGGCGGCTACAAGGTCTCCCCTCAGACATCTCTTGTGAAGGCTGAAGAGATCCAGATTCCTCAACCTCCCCTCATAGGGTCTTTCACGGAGGCCACTAATCATGCAAGTGGCCCTCCTCTGAACCCTCTCCAAACCCTCCGTGTCCCTCTTGAAGTGTGGCACCCAAAACTGGACACAGTACTCCAACTGCAGCCTGATCAATGCCGTATGGAGGGGGAGCATCACCTCCCTCGATCTGTTGATCATGCATCTGCTAATACACAAGGTGCAATTGGCTTTGTTGATGGCCTTGCTACACTGCTGGCTCATGTTCATCTTGGAGTCAACTCTGACTCCAAGATCTCTCTCAGCTGCTGAGCTGCAGAGGAGGTCATCCCCCAACCTGCAGGTGTGCTGGGGATTCCTCCTTCCTAGGAGGAGTACCTTACACTTATCTTTGTTGAATTGCATCCCATTTCATTCCACCCATTGATCCAACCTGTCCAGGTCAGCCTGTATCTGCTCCCTGCCCTCCAGTGTGTTAACTTTGCCTTATAATTTTGTATTATCTGTGAACTTGGAGAGGGAGCTCTCCACACCCTTTTCCAAATTGCTGATGAAGATATTAAATAACACCGGTCCAAGGACTGAACCCTGCAGGACCCCACTGCCCACCTCCTTCCAGGCTGAGAACGACCCGTCCACCACCACTCTCTGGGTGCGGTCCCTAAGCCAGTTGGCCACCCACCTGACTGTGTAGGAAGCCTGCTAGCTTCCCTATGAGAATAGGATGCGAAACTGTGTCAAAGGCCTTCCTAAAATCCAGGTAGATGACATCAGCCTCAGCTCCTGTGTCAAGGCAGTGTGTGACCTGATCATAAAAGGCTATAAGGTTTGTCAGGCAGGATCTACCTGTGACAAACCCATGCTGGTTTCCTTTCAGCAACATTTCCCCTGCTGGGCCTTCACAAATGCGCTCTTTGATGATTTTTTCCAGTATTTTCCCAGGGAAAGAAGTAAGACTGACTGGCCTAAAGTTACCCGGCTCATCCCTTCTCCCCTTCTTAAAAATGGGCAGCACGTTGGCCTTTTTCCAGTCCTCACGGATCTGGCCGGAGCACCATGAGAGTTCAAACAGCCGTGCCCGTGGCTCAGCAATGATACTGGCCAATTCCTTCAGCACCCATGGATGGACGTCATCTGGGCCGGCTGACTTGTACCCATCCAGCCCTTCCAAGTGCTCCTTAACTAAGTCAGCACTAACCTTTGGCGGTCTGGTGCCTTTTGGACATCTGTCTATGCTCAAGGTGGGTGAATTGACTTGGTCAGTACTTAGGAATAATGAAGAAATACTTCAATACTATATGCATGCTTTATATAATAAGCACACCTGCCAATCTGATAGTACAAGATTACCTGAGGTCAGAGGAACAGAGGTTTTGCACTAGATGAATCCCAATTTAATTTGTTTTGCATACACAGGGTATTCAAGTGGGGAGGAGGGGTTATTAGCAGTTGAAGGTTCTGTACAATATGAAAGACAAGGAATATAGGCAAATTTTCCCCTTCATTTTTAATGTCCATATTTTGAGTTTTAGAGCTTATTCATCACTAGTGAAACCTTAACTGTCAAAATATAGAATTAAAAAAATTAAGCACTGATTTACCTCAGGAGGTATCAACTGAGGATTATGGAAGGGGCGGACTCTAGAAACAGAAAAGGAGTCTCTGGGAGAAGCAAGAGGAAGTAGAGGAGAGTGGAGGACTGGACTAAGAGGCAACTGGGAATGCGGACATGGAATAAAAGGAAGAGGGTAAGATGGATGAGCTAGAGATATACAGGGAATTCCTGCAAAAGAGAAGAAAAGGATTCATTATCTGGCATAGGTGGGGATTAGGTCAGAGAGAGTGGCAGGGAGACAGCAGAGAGAAGGAAGAATATTGTGTTATTAGGAAATTACAGGAATACAGGAGGGATCTCAGTACCCAGTGTAGGGCCTGAAGCCCCAGGATGTTCCATGAAGTTTAGGCTGTTGCAGATTGTGCAAGCTCCAACCTTGCATATCCTGAGAATGAGCTTCATCAAACGAGCATGGATGAGTCTGTTGTGACCAATGTAATTTCAACTGAATGATATTCCTCTTCATTTACTCTTACTGTATTTCTACTATGACCGTTACCAAAATGCTGCTGGTGGGATGGTCATATGCCTCTATGGGTTGCCATTTTTATGGTGAATCCTTGTGTCAACCCATCTTGTAAAAGGTCTCAAGCAGACCCCTGCATGGAGCATCAAACTTGCAGCTCACAAGCCCCAAGCCTGTGGAACGTAGGGACGTGAAAGGTCAAATGATTAATTGTTTGACTGTTAAGTGCAGGGATAACCAGTCAGCTTACTAGTTCTCCTTTAGCTGCAGAAGGCACAGTCTGGCAGGGAAGTGGGGTGTACCAGCAGGAATCAGAAGGCAGAAGAGCAGGCAGGAGAGAGGGAGGAGTGAGGGGGATTAGTACCCATAGCCTAGCAAGAAAACAGGGAGAAGCCTGATGACACATCAACAGGGATCCTGGTTTTCCCTGATAAAAATACCGCAAATTCTCTGTTAAAAAAAATTGCAAATTCCATGATTAAAATTAAAGCCCCACCCACAATCACCCTGGCAATGCTGGTGCCCCTCACTCTCCCCATAACAGCCCCATCCTCCCCCCCCACATACACCAACAGGTAAGTGTGTGTGAGGGGAAGGGAAGGGAAGGAGCTGGGGGGGGCCAGATCAAGAATTGGG